CATTTACCATAATAGTATTATGTCAGATGCACAATAGTCGTACGACACAAATCACAAACAAAATGCATAAAGCTTTTTTATTTTGGTCTAATCAAATTTTCATCAAATTAACTTTTAAAACAACCTATGGACAATTTTTCTACTTGACCTATGTAAATATTAACAGCAGGTGTAGTGATTTATACTGTAGAACTGTGTGTAAATCCTGAGTTGAGGGGTCCTGAGCTGCTGAAGGCAACCACTTACTTATAGTGCGGCGTTTTGCATGGCGTCCCCACTGCGTAACTTTTAACTACGCAATACGAAGTGGCCGTTCGAAATTAAGGGACCTTCTCGGTTACTATCGTAACCTCAGTTCCCTGAGTAGGGAACGAGTATTGCGTAGCCGGCCGCACTATAGTAACCTGGCAAGTTGTCGCTTCAGTCGTTAAACCTGCTAAAATGGCATTTTTCGGGGACTAATATCATAGACAGTAAAAGAATAATATGGGCTAAGGCCGTGCCCCCTTTGCGCCCGCGCCATTGGATGTGCAGTTGCCGCAGCACAGCCAATGAGTGAGCCAGACACTCACTGCTAGCTGTGCAGCTGCAAAATGCGTTTACATTATAGGCTTCAGTAAATCGAGGAAAAGGAGTTTCCCGTTTTCCCGCAACATCTGTATTCACGTAAAAATGCAGTGAAACTTTAATTAAACTAGAGATATTTCAATTTGTCAGGCTCCAAGCATAGCAATCGGAGAATTCTTCTTTTTTGAGGTGTATGTGTGTATGGGTGTGTGTATGTGTGAATGAGCAAGTGAAAGAAATTGAGTGAGAGAAAGATAAAGAGAGAGAGTCGACGTTTAAGCTGGGAGGTGCAAGTTGTTGCTCCTACAGTATGTTAATGATGCTTTGCATGTACGAAATTGTTTATCTCATCAAAAAAGGGCTTAAATTGCAATCTGTTTTTCTGACAATATGTGAAAAAGATGAGAAATAAGAAACAAATGTTTAGGTAAATATATCCACACTGTAAATTGTATTGTATTTGGAAACATTATGGTAACATACGTACATGTTAAAATACCTCTTTTGTTTGTTCTGAATTTGCTGTGCTCTGCTGCACTTTACCTTATTAGAGTGTACTGAGTGACACGGCTGACGGGAGAGCAAAGCAAACATCTGCTGCGGCTGCGGTCTGACAAGCAGCATGTTGCATGGCCTGCAGGCTTCACCTCACCTTCTCTGTGATGAAGGAGCTTCCCAGGCTGGTGAGGATCCACAGTGCCAGGCCCACACTGATGATCAGCTTCCTGTTGTAGCGGTCGCCGAGGTAACCGAACACAGGTGCCAGCACCAGGAAGCTGCAGATGAAAACTGCAGAAAGACCGAAAAGTGTGGCAAGCCGCTGCCGCTGCAGCTGCCGTTCGCATGTTGCAATTATGTTGGATTAGCAAATTGCTAAAACAGAGCTGGCAACAGGGGCATTGCTCAACGGTTCAGGCGCAATTCTGCAGCTACAGGTTCGTAATCAGTGATGGAAATTGCTGTTTTTACAGTCCCACGCAGCAGGGTGCGCAGGGCACAGATTCCTGCTCACAGGGTCAGAGATGCTTTATTCATCTAAGGGGAGATGGTCTTTCTGCCCACCCTGTCTTGCTCTCTGTGAGACACACAGACACCAAGCTTGGGGGGGGGTCACAGCGCAGGCAGCATGCAGCCCCCATGGAGCTGGGGGCTAAGGGCCATGCTCAGGGGCTTAACAGCAGCGTCAGTCTGTCAGCCCTGGAACTCGAACCCTGATCCACGTGCACAGAATCAATGCTATTTCCAGCACCGGCCTCACCTGTCTGCAGAAGTCCAGCAGAGCCATCGTCGATGTTGAAATACGTCTGGATGCTGTCAAGGATGCCTCGAAACGAAAAAAAAGGAAAGCCAGCCTGGTGTGACGGCAGAGCGGTGGCGCCACCCGCAGGCCGGCAGGCATATCGGCACGGGGCTCACCGGCGATGGTGTAGCGGTCCATGTAGTTGAGCAGGTTGACATAGCAGAGCACCGCCACCACCACGTAGGAGCGTCTCGGCGAGATGGTGGCTGCCCCCGCTGGAGGTGGGGGCTCATTCTCCAGGGACCCATAGGGCACCCCGCCGCCTCTGCTGGCACGCAAGCTCGACCTGTCTGGGGTCTTGCCCGCAGGGCTCGTGCGATCCAGCTCCATGGAGGCGGTAGCCAGTCCGACTTCCCAAAAGAAAGGAGAAGAAAACAAGAGTGAAGTGTGCAGCTTCCCCTCACTGGGCCACTATTGTGAAACGGGCTGATCTGCATCAACACAGACGTCCAACGGGGGGGATCCACCAGTAATGATGAGGCTGAAACTATCGCAACAGGAGTAAACAAGGCAACCCGCCGCTGGGCTGCCGGCTCAACCCAACAGCCTGGACCTGCTTCAAGAGCATGGAATGTGGATGTCATTATTACTTAGGCAGAAATTTCTGGAACGGCAGCCACCATTCAGAGCTGCTCTCATCAGCAAGCAGCAGTTCTGGTTCTCTTCCTGTGGGGCATCTTCAGGAAAATACCAAAAGTACGGTACTTACAGGTGTTGGTTTTCCACTGGCGTAAAACATGACACGAGGTGGAGAGTTTTGTACTGAATTTGTAAAATGGCTGTAGTATATTATAGGGCTGGACGATGTGCAATATTCATACCAACATCGCATGTTATGCACATCCAGTTCTTACATTGCTAGTCAGCTAGATTAACATCAGGCTTTTAAATACCTGCATACTGTACGGACATTATAGTGCAGGGGGTTGAATTTCGCTGAAACATTTTTACTCTGTCATAAAAAAAGCTAGCAATTTTAATGATTACTCCATTTTAAGATTATCTAATATACGTTTAAAAATCAGTTAAAAGTTTACCTCCACTGCTTTTGCATGAGCCCAGCATGCATTCTCCAAGACAATCGTAATCACTATCATCCTTGCTGTTTAAATCACTACTAAATGGGTTTGTGAGAAATTTATGTTGAACTCCTTTTTTGATTTATAAAAACAATCGGAAATCGGTAAATGTGGGTGATGTTATAAACAATCTGCATATCTATAGTCTTACGGAGGGGTTAGGGTTAGGATTATGGTTAGGATTAGGGTTAGCATTGCTGACAATTGCTTCTGAGCATGTGGACTCTGAGCAATCAGACCAGGAGCTTGATGGGAAAAGCAGATAGAGCTGCAGAATTCACTCTATTTATATCTTTTTTTTTGTGACCGAATTTTTTATTAGAGATTTTTTAACAAAGAACAAGACGGAACAGAACAGAAAACACCCCCCCCAATACACCCTGAGATAGCACCTCAAAGGAAAAGACCAACAATGGTCACCGGCACACCCAGCCCCAGAGAGCATGCAAAAAAACTGAGGAGAAAAGAAATAACACACTTATATCAGGGAGAAATGTCAAAATTAGGGAAGTAAAAATCAAAACAAAAACAAAAGACAAGGAATATGGCCTCAAGACATGACCCGCATTCTATTTATATCTATAAAGACCAAGGGCAGAATTTGCCACTTTCTGCAGGCCTTCTCAGACATGTTGCCCACATGTAATACAAACTTGTAATGAAATTACACACACTTCATATTGCTGTCACTGACCGTCTCAGATTACTGTTGTCCTCAGCGACATCGAATCAGCACACCATAAACAGCCATAAACATTTTTTTCAAAAAGAGTGGAACTAAAGTACATACGAGTCAGCGGTAAATCCCACTTATCCACAGATCATTCCATTTCTCCAAAGTGAATTCCTCTGCGGCTGTATCTTTACCGAGAGAGAAACAAGAGACAGTCACTCAGTCACTTTTTGTATCCTCTGAGTAATTAAGTTAACGGGAGGCCACGCCCCCCACTGTGTGTCACATGAGTTCCTCATTGTGGTCTCTCCATGTAAGGCAGTTCAAGATTTGCAGTCGCTCGGGGGAGATCTACAGATAGGAACACAGATCTGATTAGATAAATCACACAATATGCAGGGAGTTGCAAAGACAGGGTAGACAGATTACATATGATAGGGTTAAGGTTAGGGTTTCGGTTACAGCAGGATGGAAAATGTGCTGCTTGGAGGTCACAGTCACCTGGGTGAAGTCCATCATGAGAACTGGGCCTGGAGGTATTGGAGGAAAGTGACAGCAAACCACATTATATCACTTCTCAACCTGTTGACAGCGCAGTTTCTCAGAACTTCATTAGTCAGTGGTGGTGTGCGGGTGGCATGCGGCTCAGCAACTTAGGAAGCTGTGCCTGTGAACAGAAGGCAGTTTAAATCCCATTTTCAGCAGAGCGTTTCCACAGTTGGGCCCCTGAGCAAGGCCCTGGCTGACCCTGCATTCTCAAAATGTATGTTGCTTTGGATAAAAAGCATTGATAAATAAATATCATTTCACTGTTGGCTCCCTGAGCAGGGCCCTTAACCCCTAATTACTCCTAATTGCTACCTTTTTTCATGGCATCTGCTAAAAAAGTGAAGGTACAAATATATAATGTATCTGCCATCGGCCTGCCATGAGCCTGCTCCACCCTGCCCCCTAGAGGTCTGACAAAGGATTACCTTTGCATTTGGGTAAGTTCAATTGTTTTTATTGCTGAAAATTTTGCACAGTTCACATGTAATTTTTGTATTGTATTTCTGCATGCATACATTGTGTCATTGTTAAACTTGCCGTATGCAAAGGATAGTATCAGCACACAAGAGGCACAGATCTGCTCTGTTCGCACACTCTGCTATATAATCTCATGCCCATTCTGCCATGTTTTTGCCCTGTGTATGTATCCATGGTGATTGTGGCTGGCTGACATTGACTCCATCAATACAGATAGATAGCATTTTCACCCTACATAATTATTCAATGCTTCCTTCAAACAAAATCATCATTATTCTCAAATTCCTGATTTGTATTCAACACTCCTGTTTAAGAGTTACCAGGACAACATAATAAGAAATTATATAATTTTAAAACTCAATTTCAAACCAAACAGTACCTCTCTTTGTGACTTTTAGCTCAGGGTCAGTGAGAACATAATGATGACATTGTGATGTGTGTAAAGACCAGCTAACAGGCGTCTAAGAGGGAGAGTTTCCAGCCTGGTGAGAATAACCAGGCCCTGATGTACCTCATCGCCTCCTGTCATCCGTCAGTTAAACTTTTCATATTTCATCATAGAATCCAAAGAGGCATCGTCAGTGAATGGATTTCAAATGACAAGGTGATACCACATGTGGATGAGGGCCATGTCAGAGGAGTCAAAAACAATTTATTCAAAATGCTACTCATCTTAATCATCTGAACAACTGTAATTGTGACCGGAAGTTCATCAGACAAGATGAAGCTCATGAGAACAATAACAAGTGAATCTGACTGTTAATCCTTGATAACTGAAAATAGCCTGTTGCTTGAGTTGCTAAACTGACCTAGTTTTTCTGAGGTGTCAGTGTGAAATGTAGAGCATGCAGTAAAAGATAGTCATGGTTTGGGGTTTATCTTCAAGTCAAACATGAATTTCATAAGCAGATACTGGCAGTAGAAAGGTCAGAATATTAAATCATGAATGTTACTATACAGCCGATAGAGAAAGACACATGGATGTTATTTTGTGTACACTCAGTGGATACTTAATTGTGCCATGTAGGACCCACTTTATTAGGTACCCCTAGCTACCTAGTACCATGTAGGACCCGCTTTATTAGGTACCCCTAGCTACCTAGTGCCATGTAGGACCCGCTTTATTAGGCACAGTTAGCTAGCCTGTACTACTTAGCACCCATTTTTGCCTCAAGAACCACAGTGTCACCAACTCTGATCAGCTGGCTGGTGTGAGATTTTCAATTTGAGACAAGTCTGCACACAAATTTACATGTATGTAACGGTTTTATTAATTTGTAAATAGTATGTAGGGTCGCAAACTACCCCGATGCTTTTGATGCAGCTAATTTTAGTTTTATAATGGAGTAATATAAATTTGCCATAAGACTTCTTATGTGAGCATGAGAGTCAGAAAGTGTGAGTGTCATGACAGATGTGTGAAATTCAGCAACCGTGGAACCACAAGGGCTGCATGTTCAGAGAAGCCATTCTTCACACTACTGTTGCACTGAGTTATTTTTGCACTTCTGGTCTTCCTGTTAGCTGTATCAAACCCGGCTGTTCTTCTTACTCAATCAGGTTTTTCAGCAGCAAAGATGCAATTGACTGGATTTCTGCTCATTGCAGCATCCTCTGTAAAATCTGGTGGCTATTTCGCAGAAGCTGGAACCAGCATGCACAGCATCAACAATTAAACAGAAATAGCATATCCTATCCATCCCAATATACAGGCAGACAGTAAGTGAATCTCCTGACCCTGTGTAATTCTGTAAGTATTCAAGTGCAATCACATGATTGGCTGTTTGGAGAAGCAGGACTGTTTGCATTAACAAGCTAGTCTACCTAATAAACTTCCCACTGAGTGTAGATGAAACATCCATGACTTCACCTAGAATAATAAAGCTGAACCTCTACGTCCACAAAGAAAAAGCTTCAAATGAAAGTGGGGAGGTTACTGGCTCCTGATGGAAATCCCTGCATGATACAAAATAGAAGACACTGTGGCACTGTCAGAGTTGCGGGGCAGGCGAGCTGGAAAGCAGGTGAATGGAGCCGCGCTTACGGGTGAATGGGGTTTTATTGACGACAACAAAAGGGCTGACAGGCACAAACATCCGGACACTACAGACTTCAATGACAGATCTGACGGGACTAGACTCGGACGCGGACTAAATACACAAGACTAAGCAAAAGGAACAGGCAACAGGTGAGTACAATCAGGGATTAACACGAGGTAACGAGGTGGGCGTGGCACACACGAGGATCAGACGGAGCTGGGCGTGACAGGCACAAGTTGAGGATCATCTATATTCACGTTATGTCATTGTTTACCAAACACTTTTGTCCAAAGTGACACACAATTGAGAGAGCAGGGTCAGTCAGTCCCTGAGGCAGCTGGGGGCTAAGGCTCTAGCTTAGTCGCTCAGGAGCCCAACAGTGAGAAACCTTTGCTAACCCTAGGATTTCTACCAGTGGCTGGTCCACAGCGTATATCACCCACCGAAGCATGGGGGACTAAACGGTTTTATTGCTCTTGCACAACTTTAGCATGTTAGCATCAGTGTAACGAAGACACCTACAAAGGCTGAGGACCCAGAAGTCACGGAAAGTGAACATTCTTAGCGTGATAAACATCCAAAACAGCAGCAAGATGTCAACTGAGTGAATTTCCCAAAACAGCCATTTAATGTGGCAGTGCTGTTGCCATAAAATGGTTTATGCTGTTTATTAAATACAATAGCTTTACTCTTAAAAAACACTGCAGTATTCATAAGTTAAAGTACAGAAGTATCTTTTAGAATGGGTGTTTTTTTTATTATTTTACTTCTCATATAAAAAATTGTAAACATGTAGGCTTCCTGGCTCTTTTGCATGCATGAGGAGTTTTCACACGAGTCAATAATCTGTGTTTGTGAAGGAAAGCATTATTGTCACTAAAAATGTTTTTTTTTTCCAATGGTTTGAGAAAAAGAAGATAAGATATAACTTTATTAATGCCTGTGAGGGGAATTAGTGCTGTCACAGAAACGGAAGAAATATAACAATGTAGCATTTAGGTAGAAATAAATACAGTGAAAAAATATGTCAACAAAGACAATACATATAAAAAAAATAAAAACAATAATAAAATGTAGCTAAACATATGTAATAAGACCTGTGCAAACAATGTCCCATTATTGGTAATACAGTGTAAGATGGCCGTTGTGTAAATGGCACAATGGCAACTAAACTATCACTCTAGCCAGGAAAGGACTAGACATCTCATAAACCTGACCCAGACGCATATATTTAACCAAATCTACTCTTTCCAGTTACAAAAACACTTCGGACAATAAGGTCCACTACATAAATGCACAAGGTTTTCCATCTGGTGGACAAAATGGAGTACTGCAATCCAAAGGTAAATTTCGTAACCTTTGAACTATACAAACGTATTAAATAAAACAGTCATAAAACTGATATGTTCACAAACAATATCATACATTAAAGACAAGAGACATTCCAGTGTACACCCTATGTTGTGTAATTCTTGGTTTAGTTTTAATGATGGGAGAAAAAAGTTCAGGTTTTTCAATACTAAAAATAGAAAAAAAGCTTTGGAAATAGCCAGAGCACATACTTGCAAAATAAATGTTGATTACTGTCTTGATTGACTGGAAGTGATGAATATTGACATTCAGCTAGTGTTTAAATTCGGGAGCGTGTAAGTAATCTCCTTCTGGATGAAAGCACGATGGAGATCCGCATGCCTGAAATGTGCTTGGCATGATGGAGATCCGCATGCCTGAAATGTGCTTGGCATGGTGGAGATCAGCATGCCTGAAATGTGCTTGGCACCATCAGTACAAACTCTTTTGTCCTGACCTCATGTCCTTCTGCTTGCATTCTTTGCTGGTTACAGGACATATCAAATTTACATTAAAAATTTTTAAAACAAAACACCAAGAAAATGCAAAGCAATTTTAAAAAACACAAATAAAATACAAATATTAATACAAAAACCATAAAAAGGAAAATCCACATATAATTAGGAAACAATAAAAAATCACAAATTTTCCATTTTCTTACATGTTTTCACACATACTAGGCAATCTCTCCAACTACAGTCGCAAAAGATTCTCGGTGCCAATGCTGTATCACTGAGATCAACCGCAAAAGCCACAATTTCCTTCCATTGACAGATGATAAGACAAAAGTAATTTTATTTTTTTTAAAAAGCAGTTTTAGTAAATGGAAAGAGTCAAGATTAAGTTGCACCGTGACTTATTGCCAATATTGCCATTATTTATCTCCGATATTTATGTAACATTTTCTGCACTTATGTGCTCTCCTAGGGCCTGTATAAAGAAGCAGGATTTCTTGCTTAGCCGGATACATTGTCAGATTACGATCTGTAAAGTCTGTACAAAGATCTGTAAGTCTGTACAAAATATAAGTAATCGAAGATAAAGAACATATATACTGGTGTGCCTTAAACACAAGAAGTTATCCGGATAAGCAAGAAATCCGGCTTTGTGACACAGACCACTGCTGGTTGACCATTCTAAACATTGCTTACATTTACATTAATGCGTTTTTTCCCCCACTTGTCCTATTGATGCACTGCATATGTAGCACCACAGCCCAGAGAACGTTATTTCCCCAAAGCCCCACTTGATTTGATGTCTAAAAATCAAGTTCTTAATATTATTAATTTAAATGTCTCAAAGGTGCTTATTTCCCCATTTCATAAGCTTTTAATCCATTTCTTAAATGTATTACAGGACATATCAAATTTACATTAAAAATTTTAAAATATGTATGTTAATATGAAGAATGTGTTTGTGAAATATGCTATACAAAAAAACTATATGCCGTGCATATAGAAAGCAAACGTTTTAAACATCACATCAATTAAAAAATATCAAGGGGTAGCTGAGTAATTAACGATGGAAATTTTTTATTTTTTTCCTTTTTCCACGGGACGGGTGAGTTCGGAGCGGCCACACTCTTTGCTCTTGAATGTAATGTAAAATAAAGTTGTCCTCCGAAGAGGGGGGCAATAAAAAAATAAAATAAAATTAACGATGGAAATACTACCGATGACGGTGGAAGTACAGATGACAACGGCCCTCGCTCGCGCTCTGCGGCAAAACTTCCCAAAATGGTGCGAAGTCGACAGGCAACACGCGCGCGTCCCGGGCCGTCTCGCAGCGGCCGGCGTGTACTTGTGCGCATGCGCGCTCGCGGCCGGAGTACTTGGCGAAACTCCGTCTGGGGAGCGACGGTGGCGGCTACGGACTGTCGCTGTTTACTGGGGTGGCTTATAGTCTCCAAACGGCCGAAAATCGAAGCGAACCGCCCGGAACTCCCGTCGTTTTGAGAAACAAAAGCATGACGGAGCCGCAGTCGGCGCTCTTACTCAGGAGACAGCTGGCAGGTAAACGCGGAGACGGCTGTAACTAGCTTAGCCGCGCCGTCGTGTTTTAACCCGAAAGCGTGTTAGTGTTAGCAGATACCCGCATTTCGGAGTATTCTGACAGAGAAGTGGACCTCTTAAGTTCGACTGCTCCGGGCTCGGTCCATAGCCACCTGGCCGTTGACAGGCCATGCCGGAGTTGGTTTCTTAGTATCTGACGCACAGGTACCGTAAGCGGGTCTGCTGAGTGCGTTTTACTGATTCAGAAGCCGTTCTCCCCGCCAGCAGACCCCCGTCTCCCGGCGCAGCTACACACGCTTCTGTAAGTAATGGATGCCTGTCCCTTTGTTCGGAGCTTAATTCACACCGAGCCGTCGGGCCAAATGCACGCCGGGGGTTAAGGGTTAAGTCCGGCCTGGCTGCCGGTCTACCTGCTCGCAAAACTATATATGTATATTAGGAGCCAGTATGCGATATTTTCTTGCGGCGTCGCCGGTGTTGGTAGCGCCGCCTGAGCCCTTTGTACCCCCGTTGGGTGAGCAGTCGGCCGCTCTGACGGAGCTCTGAATGACAGCTGGGATCCAGGCTGCTTGCGCGGAACCCTTGGCCTGGTCGCACTACGCATGTGCGCTCGGCCCGGCTGTATTGCGCAAGCGCCCTCCGGCCCATGTGCTTCGAGCCACTGGCACTTACATTAGGCCGACTGTGACAGGAATACGCGAAATGTTGATTATTTGCTTATCATGGGTGCCTCCTCGTGAATTTTATACCATTACAGCATTTTTAGTTAAAGAAACCAGTTACGGAAATACAGAATTAACGTTTAGTATTTGATAGCTTACAAGCACGACTGATGAACTTACAATAATTTGTCTGAAAAAGTTTAAGCATTATATTGTTACTCGCAGGTCGGTCTGACTCATTAGATGTGGAGAGACAAAACAGCAGTAATAAAAGCTGAAAAAAATGTCTAATAGACACCCGTCATTGTGTAAGAGGTAGTGCTGATTCAATCGATGACTGTTATGGCGTGATATACCTCTAGGAGTCACTTAAGTACCAGGAGCTTTTCTTAGTCATTGTTCCACCTTACTTGCTAATAAGAAGAAACTGACAATGTACATTTTAGGAACCAATTTTGTCTGTTATATAGGGACACTTCAAACTTAAGCATTGTAAAGGAAGAAATAGGAGTTGTAGATAGTCACCTGGGTCCTTAGGCTGTGGTGGTTTATCCCGATGCCGCATTGCCCTAACAGTCCATATCCCACCTGCTTTTAAGTGGGTATTGAATCTCTGAGATACGGTGTTTGTACTAGACTGCACGTAAAGATAGCAAGTCTCACCGTGAAGAATTTTTGCCACCGATCATGCTGCTGGATTTTAGATGTTTCTTTGACTGCAGGGAAATGTTGCTATTACTTTTTGGCCCCAATTCCCGAAGAATGTCATAGTCTGTCACGTGACTTTCCTAGGTTTATGTACCCTCTGGAGAGCATTGAAATCAGTGCCTTCTTCCCACTTGGTAAAGTAGTTTTATGGCGGCAACCTTTTTTTAGGTTATCAGAACATCAGATTTCTCTGGGTTCTGATTTTTCTGCTTAGGTTGTGCTTTCAGGTGTCTGCAGTGTCCATGAGAGAGTTTTCCCTGCTGGGATTTGCTTTTTCTTTGCACACTAGACCTCAGTGCTTAGTGCTGTTTCTTCCGTTTAAATTGGTTGTCATTCTTTTTAAATTTATGTAGCTGTCACAGCTGTTAAGACTGTACAATTAATGATTAACTTCATAAAGCTATTAAGGTCCAATCTGGGAGTGTTAAGATATTACTGGGTTTGCTGGGCATGTTTATTTTGTTATAAGGCCACTTACTATTTTAAAGCATGTTTTGGATGAGTGCATTGAAAAGGTCAGCAGATGATTGGCTCCCATGTTATGTTGAGATTTAATATCTCTGCCACATGTCCCCAAGGAGCATGTATTAGATATGGGCTCCTGCTGAGGAGATCTGCACTTGTGTGTTATGGATATTCATCTTTTGCCTATAACAAGATTGACTAGTATGGTTCAGTCTTTGAAACAGAACTTAAATGCATAAGATTATGTTATATAAATGCATATGAAATATGTTGAATTAAAGTGCAGTCCTTGATTAACTTCTGGAATATTCGTGTGGCTGCATCAGATAAATTGCTGTAGTTTTATTTTCTTCAGGCCCTAACAAGCTGAGCCTTGTGGGTGTCCTTATAGTGTGTGCTAAGCTTGTGAGTGGCTTTTGGGGGGTTTTAGGTTCATCGGAATAATTTATCCATTCCGCTGCATTGGAGATGCTGTATTTCACATTGTCACAAAAGTTTGGTGTAACGGCACACTGGTGAAATCCTGGCAAAACTGGGAGATATGAGAATATAACTCAGCTGTCTTTTGGTAAGAGCTCAGTTCATTTTCATACCCGGTTAAGTGGGTGCTGTTATTTTACTGTTTCAGTTTTGAATATTACTGTGCGTTAGTGTACTAGACAAGCTAAATTGATGACTGAAAAATCTCTTGGATAGATGATTATGAATTTTATTAAGAAAGATTGCAGAATTTTTAATTTCCTGGGTCCTACTCCTTATAAATAATAGTGACCCAGCTGGTGGGTCATCAAAGGTAATGAGAGAGGCCCAGAGCTGATTTGTAAGTCAGCAGGTCAGCTTACTTGACAGGTAGTGCTCCTGGTATCTTTCCTTGTGTCATTAGGGGGATGGTGATTTGGAGAACTATGGATATCAGGTCCTGGTCATATGGTTTGTTCTGGTTGCCTTTATATCTATTAGCAGCTCCTGGTTTTGTACAGTGAAATTGAGTTCCTTATAGAGAGCTGGGTTAAGTTGCTTCTTTATGTGCTTGTGTCTGGAGTGTGTTAGCAGTTAATACTTGTCTACCTGTGCTAGGTGTGCTATGGAATTAGAATTTTAACAAAAATTCAACATTTGTTATATATGATTACTTTGCTTTTTATTTTTGCTTTTTAGTTTAGCTTTAAGATGCAGGGTGGGCTACAGAATTCTCTGGAAACCTTTTTGTGTGTTCATCTTAAAAACAGATTTTGCTCTCTCCTTTCCTATTTCCTACTATGATAAAGTCCTGTGATTAGCACTGACATGAGGTATGTATTTTAATTTTAAACTGTAAAACAAATTCCATCCATCCATTATCTGTAACCACTTCGTTGCGGGGGGTATGGAGCCTATCCTGAAGGCTATAGGCACAAGGCAGGGTTCAACCCAGGATGAGGTGCCAACCCATCGCAGGGCAGGGCACACTCACACACCATATGCACACACATGGGCAATTTAGGGAGTCCAGTTTACTTTAGTATGTTGTTGACTGGGGGAAACCGGAGTACCTGGAGGAAACCCCATAATGACACAGGGAGAACAGGCAAATGCCACGAACATGGAACCACGGCAGAGATTTCAATCCTGGTCCCAGAGGTGTGAGGCAACAGTGCTAACTACTGCACCACCATGCTGCCTCATAACCCAAAGGCTGAAAGTAAAATTAAATAATTCATATAGATTAGCAAACCCGACTGCAGGGAAACATCTTGGACTTAATAGATGCATGTAAAAATAATGTGAAGTCAGTCCTTCCATCAATGCTTTCGACAGCTTTGGCTTGGCTGGTAGAGTCGTTGCCTGTCCTATAATAATAAAAAAAAAATTCTGTGTTCAATTTCTAGCCAATACAGGATGTTGGTTGTCTTGTATTCTTGAGATTGAAAGTGGATACCCTAATTACTGGTGTCTGTGACTGCAAAAGCTTGAGTGGTGAATTAGGTTTGCAGTATATCCAGTTTGAGTTTGCACAAGTTCTCAGTATACAGCAACAGTTTGTTGCATGCTGGACTTTAAACTGCAGAAAGTATAAGTGGCCAGATACATCAAACAAAATTGACAGAATTTGATAATCTGACATCATTTGAGCCATAATCATCGTGGTGATCACTGTTTCAGCGCATTGCAATTGCGCGATACCCAAGCAGTTCTTTGCAATATCACCAGAATCTCCTATCCCAATATAGGTCATTTTATATCCCAATAACAGTACATATCATGATATAGCACAATTGCTGTAAATTCAATTAATACATTGTTTATGTAAAATGCAAGAATATTTCCTGCCCTTCATTCATGTCGGGTAGAAGAATGCAAAGTGTTGTCAGAATGACATATATATTCCTGTTGAGTGTGATTTGAAACACAGCAAAATAAACAATCAAAATCACGATTTGAAACAACGCAATTAGCATATCGCAAAAGCTGCGATTTTAGCTGCATTGTACAGCACGTCGGACCCAAGGCTTAAAACTGTCGTGATAAGTTTTTCAAATTCAGCCCGTCCTCCTTGTGTGATGGTGATTCTCACCAATCAGAGGTGGGCCAAGGCGTCCGCTGATACACCCACAAACGGCAAACATGTGAAACCCAAGGAAAAGGTTACATTTGCAGTGTGAGAAATATTGATACTGCTTTTGATCTGTAAGTGAATTACCTACTTATTTCACCTATTTTGAGAAAGTACCAAAAGTATGGTACCTGGTGCAGTGGAAAAGAGCTCTTTATCTTGTTTATCCACAATATCTACTTAAAAACATGTTGTGGCTGCCAAGCTGTCTATTTTTTCACCAACACAGAGTTTCCTCGGAGGAAGTGTTTATCTCTTCTATGATATTATCAAAACAGTAGCATGTGGAGTCAGCATTGATCTGTATTTATTGTTTGTAAGTTGCCTGTTCTGAAAAGACTATCATATCGTTGGTTAGAATTGCATTCTTTTCTTGATGTCACAGCAATGATTCGGATTGACAGTTTATTATTAAAGTTTCTCCTTTTTTTTGGTTTAAATTTTATTTGACAACAAGTGGATGTATCGTTTATATCACCCAAATATAGCCCCTCGAGAAATTTTACTGAGGAGTTTTCCCAGGCAGCAGTTGGGTTTGTCTTCATGTGATAGCCCATTACAAACAGAGCCGCGGTTCCCTGTAGCCCATTACAAACAGAGCCGCGGTTCCCTGTAGCCCATTACAAAGTGTTCCCTGCCACAGTACCATGGCCCATTAGAGGCCATTTCAGGCTGTGGACCAGTGGTTGACAAACACTGGTTTACAGTGAATGGTTTCTTGATTCTGTGTGTATCATTTTTAGGTCTTAAACTTTACACTGAATCAGGAGTCCTTAAGAAATTGCAAGGCTTACAGACAATTCTACTTGCTTTCAATACTGATTTTTAAAACAATGGGTCCTGGTTTGATGATCATTTCCCTGGATTCTTGGCAAGGTTCACTAAAGGATACTTAAGTTTGTCTTATAGATTGATTTTAGGTATTTTATTTGCACACAGGTGCCAGTTTATGACTAATCCCAATCAAACATTCAAAACTTTTGCCGCAGGACCAGGCTTGCTTTCACATTCACTGCTGAAAACTTACATTCCTCTCTCCAGCTAAATGCAAAAGTCTTTACATTTGATAGAAATCATCTGAAGATTAGGCAGGGAGTGTAATGTGATTCATTCAGCATGGTCAGTGGGATTTAGAGATTGATCCCCTTGTGTTTGCAGCACTTTTATTGTATTTCATCTGACCTTAAAGCCAGATTATCATACACATCTGTATGCTATGAATAACATGCAGTACTGAGAGGTGCTATCATTAGCCTTTTAACTTGCAAACATCCCATTTACATTACATTTAATTGCTTAGTTGTCACATTCATCCCATTTGTGCACCTGGGTATTTTCCTGGAGGTATTCAGGTTCAGTGTCCTGTATGGATTGTCCAGCATGGTTCTTCTGGAATGTACACCAGCAGTGTTCCAGTTACACGTTTGTATGTGTAGCCATCAGGCTGAATCAGGTGCCCCACTTTTGGACTGCAGACACCCTCAGCCTTGGCTCAGTTTCCATCCAGGTTAGCTTGACGTGGGGTGAACCCTCCTACCATTCTGGTCTTTATGAAAAACAATTTAGCCATTGATCTTAATTCCATCTGTCCAATTTAATGACCTATTTTTCAGTAACTGTAATAATAAAGGTAAGATTTATTTAGAGTCACAGTGATGATAGACCACTAGGTGATTGATCATTTGCTACTGACTTTCTTCAGCATACTCATGTGAGGTTGCAACATGCAGATCTTCCATTATTCCACATGAATTTCCTTTAATAAGATGGCAATGATGATGTAACTTTTCTTGATCTTTCCTGTTGGCTGTGTCCAGAATCTCAAACCAGTTTCTGGTGTTTAAACTGTCATTTGTGACCCTTTGCGATAGTGATCCTTTCTGTGCTGCTTTAGATTGTATTTTCCAGCGTGGCCAATGCTAGCAGTGTTGGCAGTTCTATATCACCACTGTCTAATGTAGGTGGTAGGTTTTGTCTCTCTGCTAAGACCTCTTTGCTTATGGTAGGCCTGCGAGGGCTTCAGATCAGATCAGATCAGATCCAAGCTTTATGCTTTCCCAATGGCCTCGACATGGCAAGGAGAACACGTTCAAACATGCTGCTAATGCAAAAGCAGCTACCTGCCTGCCGCCTGCCTACCTGCCTGTTTCCTGGGACTTCAGCTTCAGGAATAAATAAATAGATAATATGTAGTGCAGTCGCACAGTGCAGCTTATAAATTTCTGTTCTCCTTTCAGAGCTGAATAAGAACCCAGTAGAGGGCTTCTCTGCAGGCTTGATAGATGACAGCGACCTCTATCGATGGGAAGTTCTAATCATTGGCCCACCCGATACCCTGTAGTAAGTACAAAGGAGCTTGAATTGGGAACGTCACGTTAATAGGTCGTAACATTTCAACACCTCAATTTTGGGAGATCCACTTTGCAAATTCTATTGCCCATTTATGTACTTTCAGTAAAATGCACATTGTGGGGTGTAGTTGGGAATTATTGTTTTTTTTTTTCTCTTCTCCAATACATGTATTAATGCTCACTTTCCATTCATTGACAGTGAAGGAGGCGTGTTTAAAGCACACCTTACGTTCCCTAAAGACTATCCCCTCAGACCGCCCAAATTGAAATTCATCACTGAAATATGGCACCCCAACGGTAAGTGATGGAGCACTTTAGAACCCTCCGGAATAATAATGATACCCTCACTCCTAATGCCCTTGCCTCCTCTCTCGCTTCTAGTTGACAAGAACGGCGATGTATGTATTTCGATATTGCATGAGCCCGGAGAAGACAAATACGGCTATGAGAAGCCAGAGGAACGCTGGCTCCCTATCCACACAGTGGAAACCATCATGATTAGCGTCATATCCATGTTAGCAGATCCCAACGGAGACTCGCCCGCAAACGTAGACGCTGCAGTAGGTTTATTTTGGAGCTTTGGCTGTAGCCTTAATCAGTGTTTAGTATAATATTTCCTTTTTTAATACACTATTACACCTGTGAAGGTCCGCTGTGTGATGGGCTGTTTGCGTTTTGTCCCACAGAAAGAATGGAGAGAAGACAGAAATGGAGAATTCAAAAGGAAAGTTGCCCGATGTGTTAGAAAGAGCCAAGAGACTGCTTTTGAGTGACACTCATCCTGCAGCTTATAGCTTCATTGTTTTCAGGGTAAGGGGGATCGGCTTCCGCTGTGGTCCGTCCACAGGAGCAGTTTTGAGGTGGCGGCCCCCCCTGTACGTAGGGAGTTGGTGTGGTCTGCAGAGCGCTTGTGGCACAGAGAGAGGTACTGAGTTCAGTGTCTGATCTATAAGGCTCCACCCTCACTTTTGGGGCAGTAGGGAGCGTTGCAATTAAGGATGTGGACTTGAAGGTTGCTAGTTTGAATCCCAGGTGGACCTCTCCTCTGCTAAACCCTTGAAAACAGTATTTAACTGTCCAACTGTTCCGGTAAAATGCCCAGCCTTATACATGGATGAAATAATACAAAGACAAGCCTTCTGTTGATGTCTGTAGCATCCTGCGTTTCAGTGTCGATGGGAACGTGGTGTTTTCACGTGAGTTGGGTCAGCGGCTGATTTAAAGTGGTGTGACCTCGATTATTGAGTGTGTGTGCTTGTCATTTACAGGTCTCCGGTTGAGAATCATGGCACTGTTTTCCTGCACTCTGCCCACCTTTCGGCAGAGTTGTTCTTATCGAACGTCGCCAGACACATGCTGGCAAAATAAGCTGCATCAGAAGGAGATGCCTGGTAGTGGTGGTGACGCGAAGGCCGAGCAAGTGCCAACCCTAGAAGTCTCTCTTCCCTCCTCTGAAGTCTATGAACTGCTTCAATTTTCAGGAAGAATTGTAAAGACGTGTACATAGCACCAACGTTAAACAGATAATATATAAACTGTTCATATTTCATATTCACCCGGCAACACACACAGTACCAAATAAATAGTGCATCTTTAGTTGGAACAGGAATCCTGTTGATTCTTGAAGATTCTCATTCTTCTTTTTTTATTTTTGTGTGCATCTCTTCTGTTACAAATTATTTTCACAAGACTAGTGAATGGATCTTGGTGGGGAGAGTTTTTAGGCTTTTTAAACATGGCTACTTTGGTCCAGAAAGTTCTGTCTGGGATTGCGTGACCTAAATGAGGGGAGGTGTCTTTTGAAAGGTGAAGCATGTGTCTTATGATAGATTTCCTCTTACTCTCATTTCTTTGGGATTTCAGAGTTTATTTTGTCTTGCACAAGGTGCATTCTTTGGATTGGGGGGGGGGGAGAGTGTGTTCATAAAAACAAAGACGGATTACACCTTGTGTGTGTGTGTTTAAAATGAATTTTGGAATGGTGATTCACATGAGACGTGCAGCATGTTGCAAGAATATTTTTGAGTTTTAATTTCTGTCAAAAGTGCCTCCTGTCAAATTGCTCAGTAAATATATTCTGCATTAAACAGAAGTTTAAAAGACTGCACCACACCACTCGAGCATGAGTGCTAACCAGGATAATGAGGAAGACAAAAAGGTTCATCTAGCAATAACCCTTTGTTGCGATCAGTGCATTTTGAAAAGCTGAAGATTGAAGCTCTCCTCATACTTGCCCTCTGAAAAGTTTTTTTTTCTTTTGTGGATTCTTGCATAGTACCTTAGAGTATACTTTAACTGTAGGTGGTCTTATAGGCAGTCCTGGGTTTTTCGAAATTCAAAGATGTTCGCGAGTGTGTTGGTCTGTTGTACATGAACACTTTTTTTATTTTTTATTTGTTGCCTCATTTTATGCTGCCACTGAAGGACTACTGCAATTTTTCTTGCCTATTGTAAATAGACAAAATACTGATGTATATTTTTCATGTCATGGAAACCTTCTGTAGTGAGTTCTTCCAAAATATAATTTTCTTTCCAATTCTTGTTTTGTGTAATTCTGTCTAACTTGTTTTAAATTGACTGAAAGTTTAACCTAAAGACCATAACTCCAAAAACTTGAGGGTGCTTTCAGTAAAAACAGCTAATGCAATATAAATTCGCAGTGGTCATTCTGTAATAATACTACAACCTGAAACTTACTTTCTGAGAAGTCTCCAAAAGTATTGTATTCACTGGCAAGGACAATTATGGGAATTATGGTGGATTTTGATTTATTTCCTGTAATCTGATTGCATAAATGATCTCCGTGCCTGAGCTGCTCTCGGAGGTGAGTAATGTCTGAGTGATTACTGAGTAATGTTCGAGTGCTGAGACTGACTTGTAGCGAGGGATAATCTAAATGGCGGCTTCCGAACAATCAAGCACTTCATTATACATTGTGCAAAAATCTGGTTTGCTAAATTATACAACTAATATGGTGGGGCGAGGTAAAGGGAATTCGACATTACTACGTAATTAAATTTTAAAATAGACTGTTTACACCTGCCGGACCGCTGTAGTGCGTCTGATTACGTTAATTACTGTTCAGTTTCTATTTTGAAAGCTTTATAGTTCCGGGGGGACGCTTCAGCACTGGTATCTGAAAGTACTCTGTAAAAGTGTCCCCGTTATGTTTCACGCCTCACACGTCGGAGCGTGCAGCTTAATTACATGTGTTTCCCAAAGGGATTTCCAGGGAATATGAAAAACAAACGGCACATTTTAAAGGGATTTTCTGTATTGGGAGGACTTCCCCATATGTTAATTTAAGGTTTATTTTTTATGTGTTGAATCCCAAGCGGCTCTTACTCTGACACCCAGGACGCTTCGCCTACACTCGCGCGCGCCGCCCCCCTCCGCAAGCCGCTGCCCTCACAGTACTCCGCTTGCGCTCTTGCTCGCGCATCCTCTCGCGATAGCAGTCGGAGAGCCCCGGACCCAACATGGCTGAAGGTACAGGATCGCCGTCTTTTGGATGTGCGACAGCCACCCTGCCGGATCGCCGCAGCTCCGGATCGGTGTCGGGGGGGACGGGGAGGCTCGGCTGACCGTTCGGTTTCGGGGCGGCCCGGTTCCGGCCCGCTTCGGTTCGGCGGCGTTCATTTTAGGCCAGGCGGGTGACGGCTTGGGTGGTGTAGCCGGGCTGTGGGATGGGACTCGTAGTGTTAGACGGTCATTACGGATTCAGGTGCAAATACGAAGCAGTCATAATAACTGTTATTATAGTAAATAATAATGGGGATGATGAGAGACTGTTAAACGAGGGACGGATCGTTACGTTCCACCGGAACCGCTCTGCCAACTTGTGGGTGCGTCTCCTATCAAACCGAAACAACCTCTGGAGCGGTGTTCAGCAGCCCTTTAATAAAAAGATACATTGTTTTAAAAAGCGTATCAGTCTTATCAGCTGGATACACACGGCGTGAAACCGGAAACCCTGCTATAAACCCGTTGTTATGGGCTTTGTAGTGGGGTTACCCTGAGGCGGACTTCGAGGGCAGGGGTTAGATGGAGTTTTAGGGTTACCGTTAGGTGGAGTTTTAGGATTAAGTTTCGATGGTTAGGTTTAGTCGATTCGTGGGGTGGGGCTCCTTTTTACAGTTATGACATTCGTAGTACGGCAGCAGATCGGTGGTAATTATTTTTTAGCAGGGCTTGAGTAAGAGAAATGTGTCTTAAGTACTAGGTTACCTGTGTGGCTTTGGGGTAAAAAGCTTGGGGGTTACTGAGCGCTAATGGTTGGCAGTACTGTCTGTGTGGCAGGCCAGCTCAGTGCTAAGCGTATCATTAACCAGGCAGCAAATCCCTTGTATGACCAATTTGGTAATGCAGAACTTTATTGTTTTAACGCTTAGGTTTTATTGCTTTGCAGCAAATGTGTCCTTGGTTTGTTAAGCAGGGTATATAATGTGCTGCTGCAATGTATTTGTGCAGCTGGCTAAGTTATGAGACATGTGGATGACATGTTCCTGTCGGATTGCTCCGTGAGTTTAGGTCGTAGGTATTTTGGAAATACAGTAAAACATTACTGTGCCTCATTTCTGAAGCCATGCTTATATAAAGTGCGAGATCACGAGGTGACGAGTTTAACAGCATTAAAGGTGCCCCAAGACATTAAAGCGGTTTTTAAGGAAGTTAGGGTCATCAGATTTGTGCACAGGGGGTGTTTGCATTCATAGTAACCTGTTGAGGTATTGAGCAATATTATGATTGCAGTTTACCATATCGCTCTAGCTATAGTGTGGTTCTTTTAGCATAGTTTGGGAAAAGATGGTTGCTAATTGGGTTATACTGGCAGATTGTTAAATGTTTCAGTTCCATTGGTTGCCTCATTATCAGCTCTTTGATATATCTGGTCTTTCCTTCAGAGCTTCTGCTGCAGCCACTCTTCATAAGCAGTAATCCTGCCCAGGCTGTGGTGTGAGGGCGTGCGATGCACGTGAACAAGCTTAGGCCTTAGACTGGCACTGCAGGTTATGTGTCTAGGGAGGTGGGGTGTTGGTCTGTATCCTGGTTTTTCATACAGTACTCTGTTATGGAACATGAATTAATTGTATTATTTGAGCTTGTGTGCACAGTCAGGATGTAAATCGTTTGCCCCAATTGATTCGATTTGATAACGAATATTTGAAGGAATGATTTGATGCAACAGAAACCTTTACTTTTTATCATGAATGGGTTAATCAGCTATTTGATTATGATAACCTAAAATCAACCTTTTTTACTTAACTGAAAAAAATCCACATATTACTAGGGAATTCCAGGTAATTAATGGAACACAAAGTAGAATCTAACATTTATTTTTTATTGTTATTAAACAGGGAGAGCAAGCCAGTGTAAATTGTCAAAAGGCCAACTATTGATTTATACAGAGGAAAAAAGCACAAGCGAAGCGCTATATGGTTTTCTTTTGGGGGGGGGGGTGGGTGTTGCTGATTAGTGAAATGACCTTACACCATCTTTTATTCTCTGGAAAATGACAGATATATCTGCAGGCCAGATTTCGTAATAAATTATGAACGGGTACACCGCCTTCCCTGCCATCCTAAGTTTCAGAAATGCAAATGCACGCAACCCAGATATAGGAGTATCTTTAAGGGGCATTTTACCACTTGCAAATTAATAATCAATTCATCATAGGCATGTAAATAGTTCGGTTCGATCCACCATATTGTGTTTATGTTTAGTTTTTCCCTTGATATTCATTACCAAAAATTGAAATATTTATTTTCTAATTCTTTATCAACTTAAATATTAGTTTTAAGTAAAAAAAAAAAAAAAAAACCTTAATTTTCTTAATAACCAGTAATTATTTACAAATATTTATAAAGGTTGGAGTAAAGTATAGTAGCTGGTTAACTAAAATATTCCTTTTATTTGAAATTTAAAAATTTGTAACAAATAGGGTTTTTCTTAATAACCGTTTATGAACATTTATGAAGGCTGTAGTCAGGCTTAAAAGTAAAACAATTTGTCCACTGTTCTTCCCATTACTTCTGCAGCTTGCATTATTTGGTTGGTGGCATGGATGCAGGGCCTCTGTTGTCTAAACAAAGCAATTACAGCTAAGGAAAAACTAAGATTATGCAGCACAGTAATGAGCTTTTTCACAGTTCCAATTTGTTATTTCCACTATTTGAATTGTCATACATCTGTACTGCTATTCCCCTCTCATATTATTATATGCCAAATTCATCAGGATGTATCTTTGCATGCCTACATCATTCCTGCATTGCTCAGCTCTATCCCTGCGCTGCTGTGACAAGTGCACACAGGATATAATGATAATAGAGCGAAATTTATAAAATAGTCACATTCGTTTAATATTTTCAAGAGATGTGCAATATATCAGCCAACATACCTGTATTGGCCGTTGTTCCTAAAGAATCAAAATATTGGTATGGAATTGACCAGTATATCAATTTTGGTTGATATTGCCGTCCAGTATTTAGACTTTAGTCAGTATTCAATGTTAGCAGCACCGGACTAATAATAAATAAAAGGTAATAAGGGCTAAAATATTGAAGATAATTGTATTGGGCCAGGGGTCTCAGAGTACCAGCCTTTGGACTGGATACATCCTGCAAGATGCTATTATATGGCCCGTGACATTTTTAATGCATCATTAAATCCGGCCTGCAGATGGGATCTTTTGTCTTCCACAGACAATTAAAAAAATTATGTAACGTCATTCCGCTAGCAAACTCAGCGAGATTCACCCCTTCCCCAACTGGTGAGGTGTCTGCAATATTAGGCAAAAATATGTTTTATGGCCTGGCCCCCTGCCACCCGGCCCCTAAACCCTTTAGGATGCTCTCTGGACCCATTTGTTCCATTATTGCCCCTCCTTGTAGCGTGACCCATTCTTAAGCAGGTTGGTAGCACACTGATTCTTTGCCTTCTGCCTGTTGAGGTGATGCTTTTGCTTCAGGGTGTGTGTTTTATGACTGTGATGCATGCAGAGTAACAAAGTGCAGTCTAGCTGCGGGGGGGGGGGGGGTGCTTCTTGCTGGTGCAGCATCTGTCTTTCCTGTGACCGTGCTCTTCTGGGAGGCCTAGAGGGGGCTCATTTCCTGCGAGTACCTCACTCCGTCAGCCGGAGAAAGCTGCAGGAACATCCTGTGCATTTTCTGCTTTTGTCTACCTTCGCATTACATGCAGCAAATGCAGGAAAGCACAGGCGTCTGGCCAGTGTGGGCAAGTCATCGAGAGGGCCGTGATTAACACAGGCACCGCTGTGTCAATGTCCTAATGTGTCAGCCCCCGCCCCACCCCACCCCGCCCTTTGTTTTTGGTTTGTTCCACCACCTGCGTGCCTGATCAATGGCTTTGTATTCTACTGACCTATGGAATCAGGTCTATATGTAAATGTTACTTGAGAGCCACTGGTGGAGGCTGCAAAGCACTTTTCATGGACACAGGAAGTTGTGCTCTGCGGGTGGTGAGATCCGCTGCTCAGAGCCAGCCGCTGCTTGTTTAAGCAGTTTTCTGCTGTATGTT